GTGTTCTGTTAAAATATACACCTGTGTATGTGTAATTGACTCAAAATAAACCAGCGTCAATCTTATACTGAAGTAACATGTTACCCAGTGCAAGAGTGTGTGGTTTTCTTTGTTTTGTATTGTTTTACAGAGGTATGTTATAAATAAATATCACACAAAATATGCTTTAGTTAAGCAAGCAATCATTATTTGGAAAATCACTTCATCATATTGGTCTGAGATGGGTTGACAGTAATCACCCATCATGGTGAAGAGTCTACAGATGGGAGGCTGAAGAGCTAGCCCTGTGCTGCAGTCACACCAACCTAAAGCTGAGCACACTCAAATCAATAAGATAACAGTGGACTTCAGGAGGACACCTTGTAAATATCTCTTTTTATCTTCTTAAATGCACATTCTTTTTCTTGTTTTTTCATTTTTCTTGTTGCCTTATCGAAGCACGTGCACATTGAGAGCCACTGTACCATCAAATTCCTCATGTGTTTAACATACAAGGCCAATGAAAGAGATTCAGATTCTAAAAAAATTTAATACTTAAATAATAGCATATTTCCAGTCTTATCTCTAATAGTGTTAGCAGTCAACATTTTGATGGTGAAATTTCAAAGTAAAATAGCTACACAGAGGTAAAAGCCTTAAATATTGTGTGGTCTATTACAGAATAAACCAAAAGTAAACATCCATCTATTTTCTTCCGCTTATTTGAGACCGGGTCACGGGGGCAGCAGTCTAAGCATAGATGCCCAGACTTCCCTCTCTCCAGACACTTCCTCCAGCTCCTCCGAGGGACCTCAGCTGGCTCCTCTCGATGTGGAGGAGCAGCGGTTCTACTCTGAGCTCCTCCCGGGTGACCGAGCTCCTCACCCTATCTCTAAGGGTGCGCCCAGCCGCCCTGCGGAGAAAGCTAATTTCGGCCGCCTGTATCCGGGATCTTGCCCTTTCGGTCATGACCCAAAGTTCACGACCATAAGTAAAGTAAACATAAACCAATGAAATGAAAAACAAGTCATACTGTGTATAGTGTAGATTATATGGGGCCATCAGAAACTGGCGTGCAGCCTCACAGGAGCTTCCTTTTACAGCAGTGTTTTGTTTTTATTAAGATTTATTAACTTTAAAGCTAACAAACCTCAGATACAGCTCATTGTCACATGTTACATGTTTAAACTGATGATTTACACTGCAGGAACATCTCTGCTATCAAGGTACATCGGCATTATTGTCTGCCTTTTATCAGTAGTGGGTCGTGGAAAACAACTGTTCAAGGGTGGTGCATGCAGTTGTTCTATTGTTTGACCACCGAACCATTGGCAGCATTTTACTGTGATCTCACTTCAGTACAATTTGTGGTTTTGACCAGTGCTGGGGGAGAGGATGTGGGGACTTCCTCTTTTCAAACACCATCATCCTGTAAAAAAAACCACTATGCAATGTTCAATACAGTACTGCTGTGAACTTGCAAAGTAAGGGCTCAAGATTGTGTTTAAGCTTGAAATTGTGTCAAAGCAGCTACCATTGTCTGGTCCAGGGATATCTCAATATAAAATTAAACTTACAGTATTTGAGTTCATTGTTTTCTGTTCAGTGTTTTGAGTTGCAAACTACACCTGTAATTAATATTTGCATGTTTTGCATTCTTGAAGCAAAGTAAAAGTCACGAGAACTTTAAAAAAAGAAGATTATTCAATAAAGTACATAAATGGGCAATCAAGTCATACGTGTATGATCTAATTGCAGACAAATCTGTGAGTCGTCATATGGTCGCTAAATTTTTTTAATTGCTGGTAAAAATTGTGTCAAACTGTACCTAAGATAAATGTGGATATATGATGCTCTCTACTGGCTGACAGCGGAAATGCAGCAAGCTGTCGACACTACAGTTGGATTATTTAGTCACTTCAGAGATTAATGTTCTGTGTGTCATTACATAACTTGTACTGTCATCTGTTTTATTATAGCAATTACATTTAATATTGGCATACATGTATGCCATAAATGTTGTCCTCTGTTACCTTGACAACATAATACACTGACCTCAAGAGGTGGTTATTGAGTTTTAGAGACAAACAGAAAACCATTCATAAACAAACTTCATGTTTTTCCATAGCTCATACACACTTGCATGTACACATGTAAAAATAAGCACACAATCTGACCATAGTTCTTTAAAGACAGGTTCACCATATGGCGACCAAGTTTTTGTCCCTTGTGGCTATAAATCACATTTGAATACCCACATTCTCACCTTCAACACTCCTGTCCTTGACTGTGTGACAGTATGTAAAGTGTTTGTGGAAATGGAGATAACTAAGGATTAATGCTGGAAGACTTTCAGCAATAGTGGGAGAGCCTACTCTCTCCCTGGCATGATAAATGAATAGGACTTCATGATGTAAAACCATATCCTCTGGTCATGTGGCACAGCTACATTCTGGGCCATCCCAGCCCTGTCAGCGAAAACAGGTGCAGTCTGTGGGAATACTCAGGGTAATGTAGACATGCACATGTACAGCAGAGAAATTCTGAAACAGATACACACGTGCTAAAAAAAGAAACAGATGGAGAAATATAGCAGTCTAGAGTTGTCTGGTAACAACGTTATATAAATCAGTTATAATGTAAACTAAGAAAATAATCAGTCTAGTTGTGTTGTTTTTTTCCACAGTAGCTTCATGAATTCATTGGTCAAGTCAATATGGTTTTATTCACATTGTGCAAATTTTTCCATTTAGAATCATTCTAATCTAAAACCCCTAATAAATCTGCCATCCTCAGACACTCCCCAACTATTGTCCAGTCTCTAATCTAAACTGACTGTCTCTCACATGCTTCCCACTTTCCAGATGTGCACTGTCTGACTCAGCCATAATAACAGTTATCTTGAGAATCAAACTGAATTGGAAAGCTTGATGTAAATTATATCTTCCTCGACTAAAAATTTATTTATCTCTATGTAGTGCAATGTATTTTTTTTTATTAGCACATATTTGCATTCTAAGGTGTGTTATTTATAATTGAAGACAACAGAAATCAAGAAATAAAAAGCCAATCAAAAGTCATGGACCCATTAACATATTGTTTCATCTACTTCAGGCGCTTTGCTTTGTGTGTAAATAAGAACGAAATGTATTTGGTTAGTCAGCTTCTCTTTTCTTGTTTTAGATGACATCATATTACACCTCTCTTCACTTCAGTCTCTCAGCTCAGACACATTATTAGGCAGGTTCCCCTCTCCTGTTGCATTCAGTGTCAAGCATGCTGGACTCCTTCAAGCGATTGTCTGACATTCCCTCCAGCCTTTCCTCCTTATCACCTTCTTCACTGCACTTTCACACTTGTCTTCTTTCCTCACAATTTCTTGTTCTGGCAACAACTTCTTGTGGGGAAATTATAATCAGATTTTAATTAGGGTAGCAAATCTTGTTATTGCAGCTGAGTCATGTCTGGGTTTACTTTTGATGCAGTGGATGTTTTTTTTTTCTAGGCATTATCTTACTGGTCTGGGTTCAGCTTCATATGTATAGGCACCTGTATTGTGTACCTTCAGCTCTGGTCTCCTTCTTGTATCCTTAAGCCTTTAATTCATTTGTGATTTTTGCAGTCCAAGGTCAGCACTAGCCTTAGTGAGTCACACTACTTTACTGCTCAAAGTTCTCAGGTGAAATTCTGTACAGGACCCTATGTATACTAATACCAGGAAGCCAAAATCTGTTGTTTTGGGTGCAGAAATGCCAATTAGAGGTACAGTACACTTTTATGCATGACTGAAGATGCACAAACATAGGAAAGGATTTAGCCGTTACAGTGGCCTTTCTCCTGGGTGATTCATGGCCAATTTGGACATGTTTAAAGGGAAATGGAAATGGGCGGGATTCACTTCATTTCCTCTACTTGATGTAATTGGAACAGGAAGTCAGCATGCCTTTTATCACCCAAATGAAAGAGAAGTGATGTGTCTGTTTTGAGTGTAGCTACCTTCACTGGGCATATCCTTTTTTTTTTAAGAGCGTTTATTGATTTGGGGAGATTAAGATGTATGCCTACACAGCGGTCAACCTCTTAGAGGAGACACACAAGCCTGTGGGCTCATTTATAAACACTCTGCAGCATCCCTCGGTAAAATCCACAGCTCTCTAATGGAGTAAAGAGCTGTAAATTTAAAAGCCTGTTATTTAACAGAGGTAAGGTTTCCTTAAGTGTCAGCATGCTTGAAGAAAACCTTGAGATGTCAGAAATGCTTTTTAGCATTAGAGACGTTTTAAGAGCTTACTCATTATCTTTTGGCACAGTGTCATGAATTAGATGAAGGCCAGGTGGATGAAAATACTTTCTTTTCATACAAACTTCAGTCCTATTAAAACATCACATTAAATTAGCACATGTAAATTTTATCTAAGATGCACCTAAAATATTTTAACTGTTTAAACAGTTTTACCTTTCAAGCTTTTGATCACACAAGCAAAGTTAATATGGAGGTCATGTTTAAAAAAACAACAACAACATAATCTGTCCAACAGCCCTAAAAATCAAACTCTTCTACAACCTACTTCTCACATTTTATTGTGCCCAGACATAAGAGGCCCTTGGTTTCAGCCACTTACTGTATGAGTGATCAGTCATCGCAGAATCTTTTCTCCCCCTGCTGGTTGTAAGAAAACATGATTGGTAGATGTAAGGTTCAACACTGATCATGTGTGAGCCCATCCACTTCAGGCTGCAAATGTAATGTCACAGTTTAGGAAAATCAACTATTAGCCATATTTCAGTTTACATATTTTGATGCTTTGCAAATGAGGTGTATATTAGCGGTGATATTTATGGGATTACATTATTTTCACATCGCACTTAATTTAAATTATAAATTATTTTTCAACTTTGTGTTGTCAAAAAATTACTTTTAGGACATTTGTATACATCATTTGACAGACAATTTATCAACAAAATTTTCAGCCATTTTTCAGCCGCATTTAAAAGAACAAGTACAGTAGCCTAAATGAACATACAATAGATTAGAAACTATAAAACATCTGAGAATAAAATCCACTGTCGATTCATAATGTGTTGAAGAGGCACAGAGCAAAGGGACAGAGCGAGCGAGAAGAGGGGGGCGGAGCAGGTCGAGGTTGTTTAAAGGAGAATCACACACACACACCATTTTCCATAAGATGTAATTTATAGCACTATCATTATTGAATTGCCTCCCTGCTGTATTTCCTTCGTGGCACTGTCAGCTGGCTCTTTTTCCTGGATTCCAAATACACTTTGACACGCATGACTGTGAGTCTGAGCTCGACATGCATGGATGGAGACGTTGGGTTCTGCTCAGCAACACACCAGGAATCAGTTACATAATAATGGATTCTGTCATTTAATTACTCAAAAGGTGCATCAATGCAAATTCACAGTGATAATGTGTTTTTTAAACTTGTTAGGATTCATTTTAGAGAGGAGTGAAAAAAGAAAATGGATAAAAATAAATTCAAGGCTGCGCAGTATGTGGTTGACATATTGTGTGTGAGTAAACTGAGAAGATGTTTCAGTGTGTCTCTGCGTGATTTAGTTTTGTTTTTGTCCTCATTCCCTTACCACATAATACCATTAAATAGTTTAGTGCATATATAATACATAGTAATATTTACTGTATTTTCGATAACTACATAAAATGCCAGCGAATATTTTCACATTTACTGGTTTACCAGAAAGTGTTGTACAGGAAATTAAGTTCATTACATCGGATGTCAAATACAACAATTTTTATGTCACAGGCTTTATAGGGAACATACACGGCCACTTACAGTACCAGACGTAACTCTGCCAATGCTGTACCAGTGTTCAATATAAAAGGATGTGCATGTTTTATTAGCAATGGAAGAGTGTGTGCTTGGCCCAAAATCTGAAAAGTTATGTTCTCAAACCATTCAACTGAACCGCCCCTTTTACATGCGCCCACATATTCTGGACAGAAAATCAAATGTGTAAAAGTAACACAGTCACAGGGTTGCCCTGTGTCCTGGAAGAGTGGCACACTGGTCACATACAACTGGTAAAGTCACATTGTCTGCAGTGAAGAAGGTCTATGATGGCTTTAATTCTGGCAAATAATTTTGTTGCACTGCCTTCACAAAAGCAATGCTTTCCCAATATACCTTGCAAGACCACATGGATATACTGAGCTAATATGCTAATGGAGTCATTAATATAACGATTACCGCATTTTGAATGTGTTCTGTTGTGTTTATTATTTGGAAAAAGGCACTCACTATATTTAATCTGTTCATGTGATCGTGGTCATGGAAAGGTTAATGCTATTCATATCAGATAAACAAGTTACAAGCACAACCAGTGTGTGTGTAAGTCACCTTATAGATTCATGCAATGCACTCCAGGGATACATTTGATAATTCAGTGAAATTTAAAGTAGGCAGTGTGTCAGTTCCTAAAATGCAAGTGAAGCTGAAATGTTCATGTGCCAAACATTTCAGTGAGTAAACCTTGAGGAACTTCAGGATGTGTTTTAGAAAAGAAACAAAACCAAAGTATGATATATTGAGGTCATATTATACAGGCCAGTGGAAAATCTGAACAAAATGCTTTGTTGATTAAAAAACAGGGTTAAACATAGACGCAAACGTGCTTGGTGAATAGAAAATCAATAGCATCACAGTCAAGACATGTGACAAGGTGAATGTCATATGCAAAATAAAACAGTTCAAAACATTGATGACAATCTCATTGCCAAATGTGATTATGTCTGTCTTTTATCAGGGGGATTCCTCGTTGATGGTTCTTTTCTTTTTTTTTTTTATGGTACCTAATATGGATGAAAGCAGCACAATTTAGTTTTTTTTTATTAATATCATAGAACCTCAAGCCTTTAAGTCGGTGTATGGCTGTCTATTGTTGCGCTTTAATAACCATGCACAATCAAGGTGAATAGTTTCTTTCTTATGAGCTCATTCACTGTATGAAGTAGTTTATACCGTAAGGCTACATTTTCAAAGTCACATATCCTGTAGGACTAATTGTACATGTCAGCTGGACAAATATTTAGATTGTCTATTGATCCAGTGGAAACACAACATCCCACTCTCCATTCATTCAAAGTTGAAGTCCTTTTAGTAGCAGGCTGTTGAGCTAAAAAAAAAGGCCCCCACAGTATGAGAAGACAAAGCGAAGATTGATAGTGTTTTTGAAGATGGATGATATGAATTTAGCTTTATGCATGTCCTGGTCACATTGTTAAAAAATAAGATTCAACATGAGGTTGTTGCCTGAGTGCATCATTGGAACCACAAGGGCTAAAAAGACAACAAAGCTGGAAAGACAGTTCAGAAGAAATGAACATGTTTTAGTAGCCTATTGTACAGTAACATCCGTAGTGAGGTATTTTAACTACATCTTCTCTCTTTATTCATTTTTGGCAACACATTTTCTTCCCATGGCTATGGCACAATGACTGAATTTCCTGGGACCAGTTCCAAATAAGCATAGGAAACGGAAAGGCACATTTTTGACATCTCAAAGGACCGTGCACTCTTGTTCTGAATCTGAGTGAGTGCCTTTCACTCTCTGCCCTTGCAGTCTACATCTCTCTGCTTGTCTGTGGCTGGAATGCTCTTCCTTTCCATACCTAGTTGCTCTCTTTATCTTTGACCTGTGCTGGTATGTACCCATTCATCTTGGTGTGTTCCACTGCATACTGTGACAGGTTTGTCAAACTGGTGTTTCCCTCTTTCCTTTCCCCAGTTTCCTCACCTGGGTCCCCATCCCCTTCTTCCTCTGCCCTCTCTTCCCCCAACATGGTACTACCATTGTTTATGCCTATGCTTGCCCGTCGCACATCTTCAGGAATGTTCCTCCTCAGCTCACGGTTCTTGTTGCGTCTGGCCAACTTGGTGAGTGATCCAAAACGTAGGTTGAAGAGATTCTCCTCTGAAGAAGAAGCTGTCTGTTGCGCTTGCTCACTCCCCTGATGATCGTACGGCTCACAGGCCCCTTTCAGCCTCAGGTTGTTCAGCTTGGTGTCGATGCTCTCCTGGGAGGAAGTCTTGAAACGTCCAGCATCCAGGCTAGCAAACATGGCCCGCTTCTCTGGAGACAGCATATCCAGGGAGTGAGCTCGCTGCTCCAGGCCGAGCTGACGGCGCTCCATGCTGCGGATGGTGGCGGCCCGCTGGAGCTTGTCATGGATTTCAACACTCAGGCGGCGTCGAGTTTCACGGAACTCAGCTCGTACATTTGCCTTCCATTCAGCTGCATGAGCTTTGAACTCCCCAACCTGTGATAACAGTGCAAACAATTAGAGGTTATGTGCTATAATCTGCAGCAGCAAGACATGATCATTTTTGATGAAGGATAAGGCTTATCTGGCTCCACCCCCTGCCTGTTAAAGAGCCTTTTGCCAAGGTCTAAGCATCAATTAATATAAAAAATATAAGAACAGACAGGAGGAGCAAAGCAGGAAACATCTGAATGACTGAATTATTTTCTGCTTCTCTAATGTAATAGCAGTGGAATTGAATGAGTCCCACCTCCTCTCTGGTTTTTTTAGACAGCACTCGCAGCCAGTCTCCAATCATGCTGAGGACGGCTGCAAAGTACGCCAAACCCACCAAGATCCAGAACCACACCAGTGGCTTGTACCAGTTCTTGTACTTAATTCTACGGTTTCCACCTGAAGGGGAAGAGAAAATATCCATATAGTCAAAAATAAATAGTCTGACAAAGTAGTACAGTGTCAGGGCAGAGCAGCCGTCTGTTGCATAGCTCTACCTGCCACATAGTCTCCTATTCCCACTGTGGTGAGAGTGATCACAACAAAGTAGATGGCCTCCAGTGTGGTCCAGCCCTCAATGTATTTGAAGATGACAGCAGGGATAGTAACAAAGACAATGCAGCCAGCCAAGATGAACAGGATGGTGGACGTCACTCTTATCTTCGTTTGGCTGATCTGTTTGTGTTTTTGCTGAAAAACAAAATAGGACAAGTTGTTTGAAATAATAAAAGAAGCTAAAAATGATCATCTAATGGAAGTCATGTGAAGAACAAGTGACCATAGGCCCTGAGGCTTTCAGTGAAAGAATACTAATTAGGTCAAATATTACACAGAAAATAATTTTTAAAAATGATAAATGGACTGCACTTTTCTATCTTAATGGACAAAGCACTTTTCAATGTTTTGCCTCTCAACTTGAAAAAGAGCAAAACCTAGTTTTTTGCCAACAGAAACTTTGAATAATTGTTAAACTAAAACGTATAAGGCATTTAATCACAAAGAATTATCAATATACTGCAGTATTTCCAGCTCACCCTGAATATCTTCTCAACTCTCAAGATGCTTTTCCCAAAGATAGTTCCCAGCTGGTCTCCAATCCCCGCCAGCAAGAAGCCAAAGAGAGGGATGCCAAATATGGCATAAAGAATGCAAAAGATTTTCCCACCTTCCGTGCTTGGAGCTATGTTACCATAACCTGTTGAAACAATCAAAGCACAAGGAAAAGGAGATAAGAGAAAAAAAATCGGGTTAATGAGTGAAGAAACATGACATTAAGGACAACAAACAAAGACAGGGGCAAAGTCAAGAATCTTTATTGTCATTATGCATAGACCAACGAAATTCTTTCCAGCAGCTCTTGGCTTAAGACACATTATTTACATAACACAAAATTGTATAAGTCAATATAAAAATATGACTTATACAATTTTGTAAAGGAGCTGTAGTAGGCTATTATGAGTAACATGAGAGGCAGAAGAAGCAACAATCAATTGAAGTGCTTATGTAATACCATTTAGCTCCTGGAGCAGGGGTCTGAGTTAAATGAGCCCCTACAGAGACAATAATTAGGTTCCCCTTGCAGAAAATTGCATTAATTATGGCTCTACAGTGATGGAAATAGAACAAAGACAGGTGGATGGGAAAAAAATATATGTATTTTTCTCTTATTTTAGCCTGTCATGACTAGAAAACTAGCATAACATGCATCCTTTTTGCTGTATGTTTACTTCCACTTTTCTTTCATCCTTGCTGTTCTTGTATCAAGCAAGGATGTATCATGTTTTTAATTAAAATAACCTGAGGATGTCTAACAAATCAAATTTGCTTGAATATATTTTTCTGTGCTGGATGTCTAAGTAAATGAAACCACTTAAAGAGGCTCAATAGCAAATGCCATGGTTAATGAAACTCTGGATTGCACCATAACAACAGGTCAGGGATGTTGTGTTTTTTAGCAAGATAAAGGAGCAGTACATGCAGCCAATCCAGGGAATAGAAACATATATCATTTATCATCAGCTTTGATGCTGGATTTATGGCTCCTAAATGCCACTACTACAGTCTATTGTAAATGACCTTGATAATGTTGATCTTCACAGGCTGTTTAATCCCTGAGTGCTTAGACTTTGCATCATTTAGCACCACCTCGTAAGGGCTAAAGGGATTTGTAAAAGTTACCTGAGGGTAGCATTAACAAGGAAGGATTTAAACAGCTTTAATGAGAAAACACCTTTAACAAACTGATATGGCAAATCTAAAACGCCTTTGAAAAACATTTATTGTCAGTCAAATTAGCATTTATGGGCTCATGTAGTTTGCTGGAACATATGCATTGTGCAGTAGTGATTCAAAAATTATATCCAATAAAATGTTGTTTTTATGGAAAGAAATAATGAAATTACATTTCAAGATAATGAGTTGCACAAATCAGTCTTGTAATGCGAAAATATTTAATTGGAATCTGAATCTAAAGGAGTAGAAGTGTGTTAAAAATGTATCATGATTTACTGTATTAGTATACATGAGTTCTTAAAATGACAGCTGTATTGTTAACAATACCAATTTAACAGGTATTAGAGCATTTAAGAGTGGATTATTTACATCTTTACCTATGGTTGTGATGACAGTTCCGGCAAAGAAGAATGCACTGCCCAGGTCCCAGTAACTGGAGTTGTAGGATGTGTCTCCAATAGGGCTCACTCCTGCACTCACAGCATCTATTGCATGCTGGAAAAATGATAATTTATAAATTATAAAGACATAGAGATTTCCAGCTAGTCACAACCAGGAAGAAAAGCAGGGAGACATAATGAGGATCATTCTTTAAGGGTAAAAAAGGCATTACCAGAACACTTAGAAGAGCCTGACATTGCCAGCTCAGTTCAAGTGAGTTACTACTTGCAACCCCTCATCATTATATACAGGTGTCTGCATGTGCCTAGTAAGTCCCAAGAAAAAAGGACCAAATTTAGATGAAAGGAAGACAAAATAGGGATAACATTGTGTAGCAGAAATGTTTTCTTGCAGCCCATCGGATTTTGCTTGCAATCTGTTACTGTAATGAATGAATTGTTCTTGAAATGTTGTGACAAACAATGCAGGCATACGTGTTGTGTAAATTTTGACTAAAAATCAATCATTAATAGGTCGAAATATAAACACTTCATAATGACTATTTACTATTTCAGTGGCTATACTAAGTGGCATGTGCATGCCCACACAGCACAAGATCTCTTCAAATTATTCAGTGTCGGACTTTTCACCGGGAGCTATTTGTCTGCTCTACTCAATTTGCATGTTTTTACAGTTCATACTAAATCAACATGTGAAGACTTTTATCTCCATTTCCTTCAATGTAAGTCTTTTTTCCGCAGTCCCTCAAGCTTCTCTTTATCCCCAGCTTGCCTGTTGTCTGGAAAACATTAAGAAGCCACAGTGTTCTACATTTACTGGCTCATTGTTCTCATTGATCTCCTTCTGTGCTCCATTATGTAGCCATGAAAACATAATCTGCTATGTTTTAGCTAAACCCCCTGTTTATGGGCTTTTTATGACAAAAGCTTTATTTCTTTTTGTCTGAATCTTGCCTCAGGGCTCAAATAAACACTGCGTTTGCTGACATGAAAGTTCTAGTGAGGGATGCCTTTGAAAAAAAAAATAGCTTCAGTGCATTTTCCAACATTTCCTGTATCATGCACATCTTTTTCATTCAGAGCAACCCCCAAACCATCTAAGCAAGCTGTTGGTGAGATGCACGTCCATATGATAAAAAATGTATCAGCTCTCATGACATACATTTCAAAGCAGACAGGAGGAGGACCACTTCAACACACATCACTGCACATGCATAATCATGCATGTAATTACCTCAGCTTCAGCAACGCGGTCCCCTGAATGAGATGGATTTTTCTATAATGAGTCAATTACACTAATGATATTTCTTAGGTTTTAGCAGGCAGAGCTGCTTTATGGGGCCAACATCAGAGTGGTAATTATATAATAAACCCCAAATAACCTTATTCTAGAGTCAAGGGAGGGATATAAATAGCCTCAAAATGGATCTGAATACTTTATGAGAAGATCTATTTTTGTCTCCATATTTTTTTCACAGCTAAGTTCCTGCTCCATTTGAGACATGGAAAACTGACTTTGCATTTAATAAGACAAAAAAACTATGTTTTTGCATAACCTTTGTATAAATTTTGTATTTGTACTTTACTTGAGTGTTTCCCTTTTCTGCTACTCCATACTTGAACTTCATTACATTTTAGAGGCAAATATTATACTTTTACTGCACTACATTTATTTGATAACATTATAATTTTCAGCATCACATCATTTAAAAAAAGACAGTATAGTCATAAGACTTTAATGATCCTTGGTGGAAGCTACCCAACATTAAATTGATGAACACAATAATGTATCAATAATTATAATCCAATAACATAATATACTGTATATTAATGTGAAATGTGTCATTCTACATAGTGAGTACTTTTACCTTTGGTACTTTTGTACCTTTACTTAACATTTTGAATGCAGGACTTTTACTTGCAACAGAGTATTTTTACATTGTGGTACTGATATTTTTACTTAAGAAAACAGCCTGAGATCTTTTATCCTCTCAGTGGGTCTTTAACAAGGTGACTCTCTCCTTCAGCAACCCTTGCCAAGCACTCTTCTCTTTGGCACTTTCACTGTCTCTAAAAGGCCTATCTATAGCTACCATGCTGGAGCATTAAGGTTTTGCAAAATGGCAAACAGGAACACCATCCCAGATGTTGTTTGAAAATGAACATAAAGTTTGAACATATCACAAATGTTTGTGAAATTGTTTGTGATCTGATCTGACATCAGTATCAGAGAAGGACAAGATCTGATCTTGAAAGTTAGTCATTATGCAGCAAAATGGTGGCTGTCAGTAAGCATAATGATAGGTACTACATTATGGACTACTATTACTGACACATTAACATGTATGCAGCATTTTAGTTTTGTAGAGTGCTTTTAAAAATCTGCAAAGTACCTTATAATAGGTGCCTAGTTAATGTTAGAGTATAAAAATACAGTATATCCTGAATAGAAGTGCAAAGTACTAAATAAAGGAAATATTCAAGTACAATTACCTCAACAATTCACTAATTTACATTCTACCTCTGCATATACAGTATCTGGTTTTGAGACATTTTAAGGCACAACTGTCAATAATAACTGCATTTCTAAGCCATTTGAATAGTATTTTTATTATAGTAATTGTTGCACACTGGCTAGATACCTGAAGAGCTGAGTGCTCACTAGTTACTGCAGCATTTTGTTAAAGGAGATTAAGTTTGATAACTGGAGATAAACTTTGATAACTGTTTGTGTTTTATAAAAATCATGTAATTTGTGCTATTAGAAAAATGATGACACTGGTTACATGTCCTGACGTAGTTTTCCTCACAGTAGCTCAGCACGGATGAAGCTTTATTTGTTGATACGGTATGTGACTCATCAATAAATGTGGTTTGACTGGTGTCAATAACAGTGGGGCTACACATCATGCCACACTGTGAGTCATTCTAACAGTGCTGCAAGTCAATTATGTCAGCTGTTTTTGTAGGGGAACAGTGGGTAGGTGGACAGCACAGATACTGAAGCAGTAGGTCAACGGAAGTGCATGGAGACACACTCACACACGTTAAGTCAGCACATGGTGTGGAGCAAATCTAAGTTCCCTAAAAATGCTCTCTAATACCCTGTGACCTTCTGTCTTGCACACACACACATGCTCTAAATAACACACACATACTGCCTAAGGTTGCCATCTTTCTGCCAACTTCTCTGCCAAACAGTTTGACAGCAGTGAGTCACCACTGCTGTGTCCCCACGATGGATCATCAGTTGAGTGACAGGCTTGACAGAGCACAAACAGACCAATAAGTTAACCTGTTAAAGGCCTAGACACGCTCTTTGATGGAGTACATGTGAAGCAGGCCTCTTCTTTTGACAACATAAAAATGTTATTTGTCAGTGTGAACCTAACATATGGCTTGATATTCATTATTTTTGCCTCACTTAGGGTCGAACAAAATCCACCTACCAGCACCTCCAAAACTCACTAATTAACACCTTATATCTGTTCAAACAAGAAAAAGTCTGGCACTTAGTCGTTTATACACTTTGCAAATTTTAGATGTACCAGTCAGGCTAACAGTTTTCCCATTTCCAGTAATCACGCTCAGCTAAGCTACTAGCAGTAGATTCACATTTAACATATAGACATGAGAATGGTACTGATCCTTCCATGTAACTGTGCAAAACCTCAAATAAACATACTCTATGTCTCAACTTGTCAAACTATATTTTTAATACATTAAATTTGTCACATTTAGTATTCTAAATGCATTCTAGGAAATTTCAAGCAGGCTCAATGGCTTTCATTTTCTTGTGAATCATAATGTTATATGTAATCTTATGTATCAAAAGCTGATCATCTGTCCAGGATTCAACTTCCTCTGTAGTTGGTGCGGCTTCGAACTGCAGGAGTCTGTGACTGCTGGCAAGTGCAAGTGAATAATTGATTTCCACTACTTCCCAGGCACACCACACTAAAGGTTTTTATTTCCGCACACCTCCTTAGGAAATACTGTCATTGATTTTTACAAAGTCATGATAGTGCTGTTGTGGCTCAAAGGTTGAGCACTGATTGCGAGCGAGAAGAAAAAAGGATCCTTCACTGGGAATGAATAACTGAACAGGGGAGGGTGTGGAAAAGGCGAGAGACAATACGGCAGTCCAATTTTTACTGGAGCAGTGATGAAGACACTAATCTTAGATGTTCTAGAGGAGAGTGCAGCACACCAAATGCCGTGTGGTTGAGGTTTTTGTATCTGCAGCACTTTTCCACATGATTTTTGTAATTAGGGTTAGGGTTAGTAGACCTTGTGTTACACAAGGCCTTTATTTACTGGAAAATAGACCTAGCTATAAGAAAAAGGTCTTTGGTTTTTCTGAGCACCTTCTGTAAAGTCCAGAGCAGTATTTGACTGATCTTTGACCTATTCCGCTATCACTGCACTCTCTCACAAATCAGACTTTCCACTCAGCCAACTGTGTGCCAGCACATCTGAAATCATTTTCCAATCCTGCTTCGTGTTGCACATGTCAGCTTGATGTAGTGACTTTCAGTCTTGACCACTAATTCTGTGTGTGATATCAGGGAGCAGTGTAAAGCACTGCCACACTTTATGTAATACAGTATGTGCCTGACACCATAAAAAGACACTGTAAAATGCATAGTTAAGACATGATGTGATGGAAATTATCCTTTTTTTCTGCTTGTCATCTGGTCCAGTTCACACAGGTACTGGTTGAGGATAAAAGCTTCACAATCCATGTTGGTAAAATGTGGAACATTGTAGACACAGCATGTTTTAGGTCAGCTTAAATCAAACTCTGTGTCACAGTTTAACAGGTTGTCAGTGACTTTTGATAACAACAGGTAGTTTTTACGGGTTCATATGTGAAAAATCTGTCCAAAATATTCATTCTTATAGATGACATATTTTAGTTTATGGTTTTTGAACCTGAATTGAGTTTCAATGTTGAGTATTAAGTATTATAGGATCCTGAAATCTTCTTGGGTCTTTCTAAAAAATTCACTTAGTTTTGTTAAAATAGCAAATACGTGATACATGATTTTGATAGTAAAAAATAAACTTTACTTCAGATGCTTCTTGGGGGTGAAGACAACTATGGTGTTGTGGCTGCGAGCCAGTTTCCTTATTTAAAATATGTGGGTGTTGCTAAAGTCTCACTCTGGAAATCCATTTTGTACTAATACATTTATTATTGAGGGTCTAAGGCATACTAGAAATTTAATCTCTTATCTACTCAGGCCGCTATGCTATTGCAACATAAAAATGTGGGTCTCATTTGCTACTGCTACTATTTATTTGTGCATGAACGGATGCTGTGAAACTACTCTAAGCAAGTATGAGCACAGCATGGTCACATCTGGATAGCAGACATTTGTATTTTCTCCTAGATTACTTCTATGCGCTGTTACGTAATTGCATGTACTGTTACAGTGATGCTCTAAACAGATGAGAAGTGTTGCTAAGAATCAGGAGCAGCCCATAGTTATTGTGATCATGAAGCTATTACTCTGTTTCCTGCTAGAGGTTAGAGCTGCTTCTAAGTAGACTCCTGGCATTTACCCTTCAACGCTCAATCAACAAAGAGTGGGGGGGTGTATCTTCTGATGGCGCTTTAGTCCCAGTATATCAACTCATCAATACTGCAGGGGAAACTTAATTAAATTGCTATTGAAAACGCATTTAAGTTAGCACTGCAAGTACTACAACAAAATGCTTTGAGTGAAAAACTGACTGAGTTTAATCTAGCACTCAGTACTTGTACAATCTCAACTAGGTGCCTCTGATTCAGTGAGAGGACAGAGAGTGATACAATAGCACAGTGATAACAATCTGGTACTGAGGGCAGACAATCATTTTGAACATTTGCAACAGATAACAAAATCTGCTCAGAGTTTGGAAAAGCATGAAGCTGGGAACAACATAAAAAGATAATGCCCGTGTTGACAGTTACATCAACAACTAAAAAGCTCCAATATAAGGTCTTACACTGTAATTATGATATCTGAAGCCACACACCAAGAATCAGTGGCTCAAGACTGGACCAGCCTGGGTCATATGACACTAACACCGTAGTGCATTAACCCTTCCCAATACCAACAAATAAGTGAGAGGGTTCTTGAAGTTGAGGTGCTTATAATAAATACAAATAATCTTTGAAATCTAACCTGTCTAAATTTATTAAAAACCTTTCCCCCCCCCTGTATTTTAACACAGATCTTTATTTATCCATTAAAACAAAATTAACATAGCATAGGTTTCCTGTGCACATGGTTAATTATCCTGTACAACTCAACAGCAGTTTTATTTCTTCTTTTCATTGATGGACATTGTTATTAAAGGCTTCATCTGCTGAAGGACAATCTTGGCATGAAAGGCGTTAGCATCTACACTTTCAGGCCCATGTGGCCAGCTAATGAAACCAGAATTAATTAGCCCCAGAACCCCTAATTACCACAGATTGCAATCACCATCTATAAACCTGCTGCGTGCAATAAAGCTCAGTGCTCTGAATTTCTTCCTCCTATCTACCAATCAAATTGAAACTCTGGTATTCAGTATTATTTATTTAGCATCATTTATCATGTTATTTTAACTTTTATTGTACTTTCTTTCTTATCATCTTGCAAACTAATCTCCTGGCAATTACTAGATTTGTGACAAATACAATGTCTGAGCAGTTTTAATAAGGAAACACCATGTTTCCAAATAGTTAAAGTTCCAGAGCCTTATCTGTTTTTCCAACCACTCCTAGGAAAGAAGCCTTCTCCAGGGTGATGCTGGTCTTCTGGATGCTCTCAAATGGCTGCTCCAGTGCCCTGAAAGCCAGACCTCCACAAACCAGGTAGAGAACAACCACGACAAACACTGCAAGCACTGTCTTCCACTTCATTACAGAGTGGAGCGCAGCAGCTGAGCCGTCCCAGCTGGTGTCCATGCTGGCTACCACGCTGGCAGAGCGGGAGGAAATGGACAGGCGCGGCAGTGCACAGTGTCCGCTGGTCTTAGGGTCATAGCCCATCGGATTCTGCATGGTGGCAACGCTAGCCTGGACTAGACTCGACTTCACCATGCCAGGCTGCAT